GGTGTCAGGTTTCACTGAGAAACCCTAAAATAGCCCTCGGCTGCCTGGAGGAAGCCTGGCCTCAGGTCCACTTGCCCCGCCACTCTCAGCCCTGTCCAGCATCTCCTGCCTGTGCTGTGGCTCTTGTGGCCTGTGTGCCGGGGCTGGGGTCCCTGATGCCTGTCACACAGCCACTCTTTAGGGTGGTCACCAGGGAGTGGCACTGGACTCCTGGGGATAGAAGGAGCCATTGGATGCCAGCTGGCCAGGGCGGCCTTCCCTGAGGCCTTGCCAACAAGCGCTGTGGCACAGGACAAGGCCCTGCAGCAGGACGGGCGGGCAACAGACTCAGGCTGTGCAGGAAGAGGGCCTTTGCTGGAGCCCTTGTCTGTCCCATGGTTGGTCCTTGGCACTCACTTTCAGGGTAGGGGGATGCCTGGGCCAAGGAGGGCAGAGAGCCCTGGGGAAAGGCTGAGCCCATCCCCAAAGAGGGCTGTGGCATTTCCCACCTGTACAAGGCTTTTGGAATCCAGACCCCAGGGCCCCCAGGCAGCTGGGCCTGGCTAAAATGCAGCCGCCATTGGGCGCTATGTTCTTGCCCACAGCAGCCCTGGTGTTCGGCCTGCTCTGCCCCCAGCCAGCCAGAGCCACGGTGAAGCTGCTCAGCACTGGGACCTGGTGGCCATGTGGCAGGGGGTCTGGGCAGAGAGGTTGGCCAGAGCGGATGACTGGGGGTTGAGGGCCCCTCTAGAGCCTGAGAAGGGCGGAGCCTGAGTCCTTCCACTCCAGGGCAGGGGTACAGAGGCTCCTTCTGGTCCCAAGTGGACCCATGGTATCGCTGGCACCTACCACCTCAGCCCCCTGCAACCCTGCTACCCCTCCCTGGGTGGCTCTGCCCCACTTGGATTTTCTGGTCCCAACCAGAGCCCCAGCCCTGGAGGTCCCACGTGTCCTGGAAGCCTGCACTGTGCCAGGACCTCTTTTGGCCCTGCAGAGGGGAAGGGAAGCCCCAGGAGCAGGACGCAGGCTCCCCTGCCGATGGATCGCCTGTCGGCCGAGCACACCACAGAGCTCACGCAGGTCTTTGAGAGGTCCGATGAGCAGGGCAGCGGGTAGGTGCTGGAGCGGCATCAACCTCCCCAAGAGCAAACTGGCCTCGCTGGCCAAGGGTGTGGACAGAGACAGTGAGCGGGGCAGAGGGCTGGGGACAGCCCCGGTCTGGCCTGTGTGTGCAGTGGGCAGGAGCCCTCCATTGAGCCCTGGGGCCGAGACTCCCTGAAGACAAGGGCTCTTCAGCTGTGATGGCTTCCTAGCTCCGTGCGGACTTATCCAGAGAAGGTCCAGGAGGGCAGGCTCAGGGTCCATGTCCAGGTTTTCAGCAGGGAGAGCAAGTCTAGGTCAACTGGAACATGCTTAGGTGGGTGGGGCTGGGTGTGAGGGACATGGCAGGCAGGGTGAGAGATGCAGGGGTTCAGGGTGGGTGCCCCGCAGGTATGTACTCATATGCTGACGAGCCCCTCAACGAGGCGGAAGCTGAGCAGATGATAAAGGTGGCCGACAAGGACAGGGATGGACCACTGACCCCGAGGGCGAGGGGCCAGCCCAGGAGCGAGGGGAGGACTGGGGCAGGTGCTGACCTGCCCCTCTGCCCGCAGTTTGTGGCCATGATGACCGGAGAGTCCTTCAAGCTGGTCCAGTAGGAGCAGCTGCCACAGCTACAGCATGCCTGCCCGGGAAGGCTGCCACCGCCCCGCCCCCACTCTGTGAAATAAGGGCTGCAGCCTGATTCCGCTGTGCTTCCCTGTCCCTAGCCTTGGGGGAGTGTGGGTCAGAAGCAGTCCTCAGGGCACCCTTGTGACTCCTGCTGCCATGCCTGACCCTCCCACTGCCCAGATCTGGGCTCTGAATGCCAGTCTGAAGGTCACTGGGACTATGTGCTCGCCCACCTGCCTGCACCCTCTGGGGCGCCGTCTCACATAGGCAGAGACCACTTAGATATAAACTTTATTCTCTCCTCAAAGAGCTGTGGACATCACTGCTGCCTCTGAGCTCACATGGCTCAGGCGCATGGTGCCTCCTCCAGGCTGAGGCCTGTGAGCCAGGCCAGGGGCTGGGGCGGAGAGTGGCAGCCTGCCTGGGGCGGCCAGCACAGGGCTGGTGGCTGGCTGGCTGGCGTTACATAGCAACGAGGCCAGGCCTGCAGCAATGTGCTGAGTGGAGGCCTTCCCAGGGGAAGGATGGGGGCAGGCCTGGGCCCTGGCCTCCAGGACTCCACGCTCTGGTTCCATGGCTCCAGGAGAGCTCTCTTGGTCCCTTTAAGGGGCACCAGGGCTATTGGGCACCAGGACCTGGTTCCTGGAGCTGTGGGATGGTCTCGAGGCCCGAGGGCCCTGGGAGAGGACCAGGTTTCTGGGAAGGAGCCAGCTCCTCGTCTCTGGGCTTTGCCATCTTGATAGCCTCATCGTAGGAAGGTGGCAGCTCCGGGGCAGACAGTGTATAGGCTGGCAGGGCCATGAAGTCAGGGTCGAGCTCCCCAAAGGGCATGGGCAGCCGGATGCCCAGTGGATACTGCACGGAGCTATAGGCTGCGGGAAGCAGAGGGCCCTGTGTAGGTGGCTGGGAACTCAGTCCCACAGCCCTGCCCCTTCCCTGGCCCAGCCCACCAGCTGCCAGGCACTCACAGGTCACGGTGCTGTGCACAGGGCTGTCACTGTCCAAAGGGATGACTGTCAGGTTGCGGGGCTGCCACGCAGGGGACAGGCGTGTCTGCGTGTTCACCTGCTTCCGGAAACAGCAGAACCGGACGCAGCTGGCAGTGACCCCGCACAGCAGCAGCAGCAGGACGGTGAGCAGGATGAGCCTGGTAGGGAGGAGCGAGCCCACCGCTGCACTCAGCTCTGCCCGCCGGCACCTGCACCCTCTGGCCAGTCACTGCCCAGACACCCAAGATGGGACAACAGGCAGGTGAAGAGGAGACCAGGGCACTCTCTCCGCGCCACATGCCTCCCTGGCCCGAGCCTGGCCTGTGCGGCCGCATGCCCTGGCTGGGGTGGCCTTGGGCTCACTCCCAGGACGCGCTGGCCCCAGTCGCCTGCACAAGCCGACTGTGCCTTCTGCTGTGATCGGCCTTGCTCCCAGCTGCCAGGGCCCCGCGCACCCGCGGCCGGGGTTGGGGGCAGCAGACGGATGGGGTCGCCAGGAGAACCGTCGGGCCAGCGCGTGCGCGGCCTCCACTTACCCTACGTGCCACAGGCTGCTCCAGCGGGCCTGGGGCGGGCACCTGCGGGGACCGGGCAGCTGCAGCTGGAGGCGCGGCCGGCCGCCCCACCCCCACCCCGCCCGACTTACTGGTCAGAGGGGTCGCAGCCGCCACCGTCCGCCGAGCCAGGCGCCACCTGTAGGGACAGGGGTGAGCCCAGACAGGGCGGAGCCGCGCGCACACTGGCCCCGTGCGCCAGACCCCGCGCAGGCCCCGACCCACCTGTGGCGCCCCGACCTACCTTCGGCAGCCGCAGGAGCAGTAGGAACAGCAGCAGGAGCTCAGCCCGCGGCCCCCGGGCCATGCTCTGCTGGACAGCAACGAGGAGACCGCCGCGCGAACGCCTTTATGCGGCCCCGCCCCTCCCGTGGAGGCCCCGCCTCCGTGGAGGCCCCGCCTAAACTACGCCCACCGCCGCATGGAGACGCTCTACAGGAGCCGAAGCCCCGCCCTTTCGACCCGCCCCCGCCCACAGTGGGTGGTGTCCCCCGGCAGGGCCCGCCCCCGGTGGGACAAATCAGCAGACAACCCTGTCCTGTTAGCCCCGCACCGAGCCCGGAGGCTCCGCCCACCTCCCTGCCAGCTCTGCTTCCATGCCCGGATCCCGGCGTCCTGAGCCTGACTGGGCGTGGCCTACCCCAACCCCGCCCCACCTCTCCTGGAAAGCCTTGGCCGGAGCCACACGGGGCGCAGTCTCGCAGGACAATCAGAGTCCACCCTCACACTTGCCATCGATCCCCCCAAATGGGATGGGGCTTTCATCCCCCTCAAGTCGGGCTCATTGAGGCTCTGGATGTGGACTGCTTTCCAAAAACACTGACCTTAAAGCCCTGGTCCAAGCTGAGGAACCAGCGCATCTCCCTCGGCCTAGATGTCCCTTGCTTATTCTGCTGGGTGAGGACCCTGACTCCTGCCCGCCCTCTCACGGGGCAGCCCTTCCCCCTGCTTGCCCTACCTGGTCTGTCATGGGACTAGCAGCACCTGCCCCACCCATCTTGGCGCTCTGTGCCCAGCACATGCACACATGGACACCTGGAGGGGAAGTGACCAGGGCTTCAGGGCTCTACCCACAGCTGTTCTGCACCTGTAGAGCCAATGCTCTGCCTCCAGGGTCCCTGCCTGCTAGCCCAGCTCCAGCTGGGAGCTTGGCCCTGGCCCCCCTCTTCTCCACCCCCACCTTGGTTGAGCTTGGGCCTGGGCACCAGGACCCTAGTGGCAAGCAGGCCTGGGCCTAGACCCAGGCAGGGTCTCCATAAGCTCAGCCTCGGAAGGTCTTGCCTGGCCCAGCCCGGGGACCTGCTGCCTCTCCTGCCTCTCCTCCTTGCTGGACGGGATGCACAGCAGGGGTGTAGGACTATGGCTGGTCAGCTCCAGGTGAAGCAGAGATCGCCCAGGTCTGCAGCCTCCAGGGGCACTGGACAGAAGTCCCCAGATGCTGCCCCAGTGCCACTGGCAGGTACTAGGCAAAACCAGCTTCCAAGTGCCTTGGGGAGCCCCAGCAGTGCCAGGGAAGCACACAGGCGCCTTGCCCCTCTGTCGCCCAGGCCGGGAAGGGCACACTCCCTAGATGCAGGGTAGGAGTGTGGTGCTTTGAGGTGGGCCAGGCAGGTGGGAGCTGTAGGGAAACGGGGAATAAGCCAGAACCTGCGGTGGGGAGGGTTGCAGGAGCTGCTCACGGTTGGGTGCACCTGGCCCCTTGGAGCGTGGGTCAGGGCCTGAGGGCAGAACCCAGACTTTTTCAGACAGGTGGATACTTATACTCACACACTGGGGCTACCCTGGCTTGGCTGGGCTCTGAGGGTGGAGATGGGTGAACTGGCCCTGATACGTGCTCAGCCTTTTCCAGGAGTCATCAGGAGGAGCTGGGGCCTGGGCTTGGAGCCCCTTGTCTCTTCCCCTCCTCCCCATGTCTCTCCAGGTGTGGGCCAGTCTGCACTGCAGCCCTGCACCCTGTGCTCCAGGTTTGGGGGCTCCCAGGTCCTCTCCATGGCGTCTATTAAGACTCCACCTTCCCTAAGGTACTTGCCCCACAGCGGACTGCTCTAGGGGCTAGGGTGTGCGCGTGTGTGTGAGCATGTGCACATACGTGGAGGGGCCGCTTCACCACAGCTCCACCCTACCCCGCGCTGCGTACTTGTTACCCGCACTGCAGGCTGTGCGCATTAGCTCACGGAACGTTTATTGGCGGGTGCATGGTACAGCTCTCCTGTGGCCTCTGATTTGCTGGGTCCTGGTGGGCCTGGGGCTCTTCTCCACCCGGGTTAGGAGCAGGCTGTGGCTGGACTAGGTTCAGGAAGGGGATGCTCTTGGCCAAGCTGGTTTGGTCCAGGGCCACAGGAAGTGGCCATGTTCGCAGGACCAGGAGCCTGGGTCCTATTCATTGAACCCATCCAGCAGAGGTGGGTTCAAGCCCCCGGGACTGGCCTGGCCTGGCCTGGGGAGGGCTTTGGCTGTGGGATGAGGGTCTGGGGCTGCAGGAAGAGGCTCCTGTGGCCCTAGAGGCCAGTCACCACGTGGGCCACAAAGATGACTTTGTAGTTCTCTTTCACATCGCCCTTGAGCTGCAGCAGGGTGGACACCATGAGTGCCTGGTCTGGCTGGAACAGGAGAGGACCCTCAGCTCCTGGACACCAGGGAGCACTTTCCCACTGACCCCCACAGGCCCCTGCTATTGCCAGCGCAGTGCCTACGTCAAAGTCAGCAGGCGGCACCCAGGAGACATTGATGGTCTTGGTCTGGCCTCGGTCCAAGAAGCCTCTTGCGGGCTCGATGGAGAAGCCCTTGTGCTGCAGCCATGTGATGCCATCCAGGCTGAACTCCACGGTCTGTGGGTATTGGCACTGTGGGGGCCTGGATGGTGCCTAGCAACCCCCCCAGCTCCGTCTGGGGCTGCCCACCCCCCATGGCTGCAGGAAACCCCAGGCATGGTATCGAGGGGCATGGCTAAGGCTGCCCAGGCAGGGTGGGGCAGAGGCTGCCAGGGTGGCACCAGGAGTGGAGCCGCCATCACCTTCTTTAGAGCCGGCTGCGTGGTCCGGATGCAGCCCACTTGCAGCTCCCTGGTGGCAGGTGGGGCTGGCTGGTGTGTGTCGAGCTGGACGTAGTTCAGGGTCAGGAGGACAGGCTTCAGCTCCTCAGCCTCTGCAGAGGGAGGGTGCTGGACACTGGCTTGGCAGAGGCCGTGGCCGGGACAGGCAGGGTAGTTGGGTGTGGACTCCTTCTGAGCCCGGTGCATGGCGGGTCCTGCCTGGCCTTGGGGATGGCAGCCCGGATCCCCTGCCCTCCTCTGTGGGACTGGTACACCCACTTGCCGGGGGGTGCTGGGGTCCCCCAACTGCTCATGAGGTTGCGTCCTCCCCTGCCCTTTCCTAATGCTGAGCTCACCCTCTCTGTGCTCGGGGTCAGAGGCAGGGATCACCGTCAGAGACTCCACGGGCACGTCCAAGGGGTCCCCGCCCTCCACAAACATCATGTGCTCGCGGGCGGCCCCCTTCAGCCGAATCTGGTGAGAGACTTTCTGGGGGCGAGAAGCAGGCAGCCTGTCCCCCAGCTCTACTTCGGGGGCTGAGGCTGGCTTGGGGTGGGGCCCCATGGGACCAGGGACACCCAGTCTCTCCACTCCTGACCCCTATGTGCTGTCCTCTGCCCTGAAACGGGGTGGAAAAGGTTGGAGGGGACACATGGGACCCCTGGGCCCCACCTTTTCAAAGAGCACCACCTGGAGCTGGTCAGAGAAGTACAGGCTCTCGTGGTCGGGGCTGAAGGTCACGGTGAAGTCCTGTGCCCTCCCAGGGTCCAGGACACCAGCAACAGGGACCACACTGAACACGCTTTGGCCGCTGTGGTTCTGTGTCCCTGTGGGCAGCGGAGGGGTGGCCAGAAGCACCCCACGAGGCCTGGTGTCCTCCCCGCCACCATGCCCACCCTGCCATCCCGCCAAGTGCCCCTGGACAGCAGCCCCGTGGGGCTCACCCACAACATCTGTCCTCTGGGGCCCGGAGGTGAGGAACTTCGGCAGCTCCTGCTGGGCAGAGGCTCTGGAGCCCGAGAGGCTGTCCAGCCGCATGGAGAACTTGATGGGCAGCGAGGAGTCGTTCTGCAGCTGCCGGAGCAGGGTGTCAGGGGCCCCGTCACCCTGCTGCCCTCTGCCCTGGTCAGTGCCCACCCTGTGGTCACACCAGTGGGAGACCAGGCAGCCAACTGCACCAGCATTCAGGATGGGGACCCACTACACCTCACCCAGCCCTTCCCAGCGGCTGGCTGGCTCGGTGCTGCCCCTTGAGCTGGCCTCTCCTCCTCTGTCTTGTCCCTGTCCTCACTCTGGCCCCAGAGTGCCCTGCTCCCACAAGCCCCATTCTGGCTCTGCTCCCCAGTCCCCATGGTGGCAGGGGGGCGTGGTCCTTCCACAGGCTGTGTGAATCAGGCCAGACTATCCCTCGGAGTGAGGGGCGGTGGGTGCCAGCCCTCAAGGGCGCCCTGGGGCTCTGCAAACGTCACCCCAGAGTGCCTGAGTTGGGCTCTGATGGGCGGGGGTTCACATGGCAAAGCTCCAGGTAGCTGGCAGGGGACTTGCACATAGGTCCGCAGCACAGAGACACGTGACAAGAACAGGTGGGTGCCAGGTGGGGGGGGGCACCCTCTGCTGTCTCAGAAGCACGGCAGAGGTGCCAAGCACTGGGGTTGGCAGGGAGCAGCCTGGGCTGTCACTGCTCTCAGCACCCAGCCTCCCCACACAGGGCCGACCCCCACCCTGGAGGAAACCTTGAAGCTCGTGGAGACAGACTCTCTGGCAAGCACGTAACCCATGTCGAGGACGTCGCCGTCAAGGGAGCACGTGATCACGGATGCCACACCAGCGCCCAGCAGGGTGAGGGCGAGCGTGCCTCTCTTGGTGATGATCTCCAGCACTTCCTGGGCCTGGGGCACAGCCTGGGTGTTGGGCTGGGGGCTCCGTCTGCGGGCGGCTGGGTCCCCCTCTGACTTGTTGGCATGAGGGGACTGGTGGAACCATGGTTGCTCAGCTCCCACCCGGGCACACGGGGTGCCAGGAGGCTGGCACTCACCAGGACACTCTCCTGAGGCGAGAAGGACACCGCCAGGACACGTGTCTTGCCAGCACGCAGCTTGCTGGGGGTGTTCACCAGGAAGAAGGGGCCTCTGGGGTTCAGCACGGAGAAGTCCAGCTGAGGCCGGTGTCAAGGAGCAGGCACTAGGCTCTGTGGCCCAAAATGGTCCTGCTCCGCCCTGGGCGGCTGCAGAGTGGACAAGGATACGGCCAGGTCCTCGGGGCAGGTGTTTTGAAGGGAGACCCTCTTGAGGCTGCGTTGTCCTGAAACAGCAGGGAGTGAGCCACAGCCCTGGGCTCCAGGGGCTGCTCGCCCTGGGTGGGCTGGGCTGATGTCAGGCTCCAGGCAGCGCTCACCAACAGCAATGTTGCCAAAATTGATGATGGTTTTGCCTCTGTCCGAGGTCACCACGATAGCCGGAGCCACCGCTGGGCACCATAGCTCCAGGTACAGCGTGTTGTGGGGGCTGTGGGCAGGGCAGGCAGGTTGAGGGCAGAGCAGCAGCCCTGTGCCTTTCTGGACCCTGGATCTGGTTAGCACAGAGGATGACGAGTGTGTGGCCAGCCACACCCCAACCTGGCCTGAACACGCCGCACCTGAAGCTCAGGGGCTCCAGCCCATTCCTGTCTTTGACATCACCGCTGGCAACCACGCAGGGGACCACGAATTTGTCAAACCGCCCCTGGAATGTTCTGGCCAGAGTGGCCTGGGCGGCCTGGTACTCCTCGGCTCTGGAAAGAAACCGGCGAGTGGCAATGATCTCTGTTCCCCTGAGCCAGCCTTGCCCCGGCTGTGAGGGACTTTGTTCCGAGTGGGGAGGGGCAGTGGCCTAGGGCCACCCTGGGCCTGCAAGTGCTCCTGTGGGGATGGCACCCCACTCCAGGTCCTGAGCAGCCGCGATGAGCCATGTTCCCAGGGCACAGGACCGAGTCCAGGGCTGGCAAGTGGCCCAGGCCCCCCAGAGAGGGGGCCTGCTTTCACTTTGGGAAGGCTGGGTCAGGACAGCAGCCTCTCCCACAGCCAATGGACAGGGTCTTTCAGAGTGATAGCAGGCTGGGATCCAGCTTGGTCACCTGGGACCTCCGGCCCTGTGTCCACACAGCTGTGCTCTGGAAGCCTGTGGGGAGAGCCTCCCCAGGAGCCAGGGTGGGCTCCCACGGCGGCCCGGGACACAGATGGGGAGACCCCTCTGGCGCACCTGGCTTCCAGCTCCTGTTTCTGAAGGGTGGGGCCCTGGCCCGCCTGGTCCTGCACCTTCATGTCCTTCCTCTGGGTGGCCGCGTCCTTCTGCAGCTGGGAGACAGGGCAGTGCTGAGGGCTGCTCAGGGCTCTGCCTGTGCCTGGCGGGCAGTGCTATCTGGAGCTCTCTGGAGGCCCTGCTTGCTGGCCTGCTGAGCCATGGGAACCTGCTGGCTCCCACGGAGGGCTGGCCATGGGGGTCACGAGGCTAAGCTAGGGGACCCAAGGCCTGGCAGAGACTGGGGGCTGCCCGAGGGCCACGTCGCCAGTGGGGAATCAGGCATGGGAGGGGTGGGAGTGTGTACGGGGTCCTCGCCCCGCGCCTTCCCTGGGCCTCACTGCCGTGCCCATGGCAGAGACACTGCCCTTGGCTTCTTGCGCAGCCACAGGCAGGGTGCGGGCAGCTCCTGGGTCAGTGTGGCCTGCAAGGACCCCGCGGCGTCACACAGGGCCTGCGGCTGCCCACCTGGTTCTTTCCTGTCTTCCTCTGGGTCGCCAGGCTGCACTTCAGGTTCATTCTGGTCCTGTCTTTGTCAAAGCCCAGCTGCTCCCCCAGATCCCTAGCTGTGCCTCCAAGACCCTGTCCAGTGCAGGACCCCGGCCCCAGCCCCTGCCCTCCGGGACCTCACCCTCAGGATCCACTCACTGCCAGCCTGAGGGCAGGAAGGGGCCTTACAAGCAGACCTTCCTTCTTGAGAACAGAGCAGCGCACCAGGCCAGGCAGACCTGCCTGAGCCCCTCTGCCCCCCGACCCTGGCTGCACGCACCGGCTTGGCCTGCGTTTCTTTGTTGGGGGTCTGGAGGGCTTCCTGGCTGACCAGCTGGTGGGGCAGCGTGGGCTGGAAGGCCACTCGGACCAGGCATCTCTGCGGGGGGACATGGGGACTGTGAGCGGGAGGGTGGGTGTCACTGCTTGATCCCTCAAGATCACCTGCAGATTGTGGTCCTCCTGACCACTGTGCCGGGAGGTGGGGGCTGCACAGGAATCTTGGCCTCCCTCAGGCAAGGTGGGCTTTCCGACTCGAGGCCTGAGGGCAGTATCTCAGGCAGGGCAGGACCTCACCCGCTGCCCATGAGGCTGAACCTAGCCCTAACTCCAACCCCAACCCCAACCCCAACCCCAGCCCCAACCTTGACCCTGACCCTGGTGCAGCCCCTGCTCACCTTTCCGGGCAACACGGATCCCACCAAAGGGGAGATGGCAATGGGTGCGTCCGGGGGCAGCAGGAACTCGAAAGATGTTGGTCCCACTGGGCAGAGGTCCCCTGGGCTGGCCCCGCGGGGCAGTGAGCTCGTGGCCAGGTGGGAGTTGATGACGTACAGTGAGGCCACCGAAGTGTCGTACAGCGCAGTGGCTGCAAACTTGATCTGGTAGTGGGACAGCTCCAGGGGCGGGTGGACGCCCACGGCCTGGCAGGACAGCTTGAAGCACCTGCAAGTGACCAGCGTAGTGGTGCTGTGGCCTTCAGTGGCCTGTGTGGCACAATCTCAGGCCCCGTGGGTCCAAGAGGTCCACGACACACTGCTGCAGTGGCCACTGTTGCTAGATGCCTGTTAATAAGTTCTAAGAGACTGCAGAGCCCTGTGCATGCTTTGGGTGGGCAGCAGACGCTTAGACAGCTGCACAAAGGGCAGCTGGCTTATTATCCTAAATATTTATTGAAATTAAAAATTAAAACTACCAGGTGTGGTGGCGCATGCCTGTAATTCCAGCACTCGGGAGGCTGAGGCAGGAGGATCCTTGCAAGTTCGAGACTAGCCTGGGCTACAAAGTGAGCTCAAGGCCAGCCTGAACTGCATAGCTGTCTCAAAAAGACAGAAAATTAAAACTGATAAATCACTCTTTAATATAAGCAGGGATTCTTTTTTTTTTTTTTTTTTTTTTGGTTTTTCTCCGGTACCGGGAACTGAACTCACAACCTTGCGCTTGCCAGGCAGGCGCTTTTGCCGCTGAGCTAAATCCCCAGCCCCTAAGCAGGGATTCTTATACCATCACGAGCCGATTCCCAGCACCACCCATGATAAACAGATAGTTGCCATTTTACCTGTTGGAAACTTTTTTATTTTGGACTTTTTTTGGTTGTTTTTGGTATTTTTTTGACAAAGGGTCTTGCTGTGTAGCCTAGGCTGGCCTTGAACTCATAGTGATTCTCCTGCCTCAGCTTCCCAAATGCTGGTATTACAGGTGGTTATCACCATGCCTGGCTCTTTGGGATTTTTTTTGAGGCAGGGTCTTGCTATGTAGCCCAGGCTGGCCTTGAACTCTCAACAATCTTCCTGCCTCAGCCTCTCCAGGGATGAGATTACAGAGATGTTCCACCATGCCCTGCTTTGGAAAATTTATATTCTATATTTTTCTTGAATGGCTGCCTTTTCCATTTTCCGCATCAACTTTTATCCTAATTAGATTTTTTTTTTTTTTTTTTTTTTTTTTTTGTGTGTGTGTGTGTGTGTGTGGTGTTGGACACTGAACCCCGGGCCTCATGCACGCAAGCAAGCACTCTACCACATCTTCAGTCCCAATGACATGTTTTGTTTTATGCTTTTTTTTTCCAGTACTGGGGATGGATCTAGGGCCTTCACACTGAACTACATGCCCAGCTCTTTTTTAATTGTATTTTTTATTTTGAGACAAGGCCTCACTAAGTAGCTGAGTAACCTACAGTGCTAGGGTAAAGGTGCACCACACCTGACTTGCTTTATGCGTGAAAGTGTATACCAGTTATGCTATCCTGTTTACCTACTGTGGAAATGTGCCCTGGAGCTGAGAGGTTTGTGTTACTTATCTCTTCGCTGGGGTCAGAGGCTCCAAATGTGCGGATCTTCCTCAGGGAGACGATGTGGTTATTATTACCCTGAACTGCCTGAGAGCTAGAAATGTGCGCAGTGTAATAACCATTACGTACCAAGTGTTCCCATGGCCCGACCCGTGTCTAAGCATGGTGGACCTGAATTTCCGGGCTGGTCAGGAGTCACTGGTGGCCTGGGATGCTGAGCGTCACTCCCACCAACTCCCCTTCTCCATATGCCAAAAACACACTCAGTGTCTCCCCTTCTGCTGAGACGGTCTCACCCTGTTTCGCAAGCTGGGCCTCAACTTCTTCTGGGGCCTCGCTCCCTTTCGCGCAGGACCGTGGCGTTGCTCACAGTCCACCCCACACCCTGGCGCAGCTGGGCGGCACTGGTCCCTGGGGAGCCTCCCACTCAGCGCCTGCTGCCCCTCTGCCAGCCTGTGCGGCCAGTCAGTTGGGGAAGACAGAAGGCCTGGCGCAGCCAGCCAGGGACAGCGCTGCCCACCACCACCACCGCGGACACGTTTCCCTTCCCACTGGGCTCTCGGAAGATTTCTGGAAGATCGGCATGGTTTCCAGTGTCTGGGAGAAGTTGTTGGTGAAAGTGTTTCCGTCTGGGAAAGGTCTGGGAGATCTCCCTGTTGGGGCCTCGTAGGTCCCGGATCCTTTTCCTCCACAGTGTTCAGCTCTCCAGGGCTCCTGCCTGCTCTGTCAGCTTACGTGTCGCGGCCTCGCGGAATGTCTCTCCTGAGCAGGCGGGTTTTCTGGCAGGGGTCGAGGGGTGGAGCTCAGCCGCTTTCTGCTTCTAGTGGCTCCCTGATCCCCTGTCTCCAGAATCTGTAGTATTTTTCCCTTTACCTTGACTGGCCTTGCTAGCAGACATATGTTTTACTAATTTTTTTCTTTACAAGAAAAGACTTAATGAAATATTGATTATTATTTCATTGATTTTTGCTCTTATCTTATCTTTCCTTTTACCTTCTTTGGGTTTAATTTCCTGAGCTTTTTTCCTAGTTCTTGAAAAATGAGTTGAGATTATTGATTTTCAAACTCTTCTTTTCTTTATTTCTTTCTTGTTTTTTTTTTTAAGATAGGACTTGCTATGTTGTTCAACCTGGGTTGAATCCACTGTGTAGCCCAGGTTGACCTCAAACTCACAGCAATCTTCCTGTCTCAGCCTCCCGAGCGCCGGGATTATAGGCATGCACCACCATGCCCGGTCTTCTTTTCTAATACATGAAATTATAACTAGAAATTTCCCACTGCTTTTGTTGTTGTTGTTTGTTTGTCTTTTTGAGACAGGGTCTCGCTAAGCAGCTCAGGCTGGCCTTGAGCTCACTTTGTAGCCCAGGCTGGTCTCGAACTTGCAACGATCCTCCTGCTTCAGCCTCCTGAGTGCTGGGATTACAGGCGTGAGCCACCACGCCCGGCCCCCACTGCTTTTGATGGGTCACAGGTACTTGAATTTAACAGCTTCCAAGAGGGGCCCTGAGATGTGCGGTGAGATCAATCCCAAAAACACACGGAGGGAGTGGAGGGAGATGAGCAAACGCAGATCTGTGCGTGCAGGCGGTGTGACCACAGCCCCGTCCCGGGCCGCCTGGCTCTGCTGTCTCTGCTGTTTGCGCCCCACAGCCTGCAAAGCCCATCGGTGCCGGGCGCACGGCGCGGTTTATCATCCTGTGCCCCTGCGGACCCGAGTGTGCACACGCGCAGAGGAGCAGAGAGGGGTGCGAGAGGCTGCTGCAGTGTGGAAGGACCGGCTCCGGGCGGGGAGGGAGCAAAGGCGATTCTCACGCCGGGTGGAGGGTCTGCTTCTGTAACAGAAGCCAAGGCAGACGTGATTAAATCAGAGATCTGTTTCAGGTGAGGGCCGAGTTGTGGGTCCCATGAGTTCCTGAAGATCAGAAACAGGAGGGAGGAGGGAGCAGCCAGACGAGCGGCGGAAGCTGAGCCAGAAGAGGGGCCTCGACACCGAGGGGAGCAGCTCCTGCCTGGGACCCTCAGCGGCTCAGGGGAAGCAAATGCCGGGATGTGGGCAGCGGGAGACCACTCACTGCGGCGCTGGAGATGGAATGAGGGACTTGTGGTGTCCCGCGGGCTGGTGGCACGCAGGAGGATAGCAAGGGGACGCAGGTGGAGGAGCAGGCGGGCGGGGAACACGGGCCTCTGGCACGACCCCGGGACAGGCTCCTGCGGTCTCCTTGGGACTCTGCAGTTTCAGTTCATGCGTAGTTTTCATAAACCAAGTGTGCTCATTCTCAACTGATGCCTGTGGAGCCTCCACGCCTCGGGTTCCCAGGGCAGACAGAACCAGAACCAGCCTCTCTTCTGGCCCGCACTGCAGAGCCTGGGGCCCCGAAGCCTGGGGGCAGGTGGGGTGCACTGTCCGTATCCATGGGATGCAGCACACTGTCCCCTACTGCCTGGAACTCCATCCTCTGTCCCAGGGCTGCCCCGGGCTGCGGGGGTGGACGGGATGAGAGGGGACACCAGAGCCCATGACCTCAGCACACTCAGCCACGCACCTGCTCCCTCCGCCCCCTCTGGTCCTGTTCCCAGGGGCCCAGGGCGAGGCGACCGGCCCGTCAGTGTGTGTCCCGCCAGGCACTGTGCACGCACCACAGCACTACACAGGGAAACAAACGCAAGTACTCTCAGAACACTGGCAAGGACTTCTGAGGGCACGCACGTAAACGCACACACATGCACTCGCACACAGCCACACTCGCAAAGCAACTCACGCACTCACACATGCATGCTCATGCTGACACGTGTGTTCACCGCACACACCATGCTGGCACGCCCCGCACCGAGTCCTCGCCACTCACTTGCACCTGCAGCTCACCGGTTTATCTCCGACTTGCAGACCAGCTGGAAGCTGTACTCCCTGGCCTTGGTGGGCTGGAAGAGTACGTCAAGCTGCAGCGTCTCCAGCGGCAGGATGGTCCCGAAGCCGTCATTGGGCTGGATGTCTATGAACTGCGCAGGGAGCAGAGAGGTGCGGGGAGTGTGCTGAGGGCTCTGCTGGGTGTGTGAGGTGGACGGGGTAGGAGCGGGCCTTCCAGGAAAGGCTGGGGACTCGGGCAGGAGCCACACAGGTGGCCCCCCATGGGAGGGATTTGGGAAAGCCAAAGGCCAGGGAGGCGTGCCCGGGAGGGCTGAGGGACAGCGGGTCTTGAGCGGGAAGGCTATTGGTCGAGCCCAGCACGTACCTTGGGGAGCCCCACGAACCCAAACTCCTGGGGGAGCAGCGAGTGGTTGCAAAGGCTGACGCTGGTCCTGATGGCCTCGTAGATGGTACAGTAGCCAAAGTCCACCGAGGAGGGGCGGAGCTCCAGGTCCGAGGTGGTGACGATGGCGTGCACCGTGAACCCCACCGGCTTGGTCTGAGTGGAGGGCAGAGCATGTCCCAGTCCGACCACAAAGGTCTGGCCTCCTGCTGCCTTGTGGCCATCAGTACGGTTCCCAGACCTGAGGCCCCTCCACCACTCCTGGGTCTGACTCAGAGGCCTCACTTCTTCCCCACTGAGGGCCACAGAGGCAGGGCCGAGCCACCGCCACTGGTCCGGCCTTGGACACTCTGGCAGGGACAAGGGTGAGAGCAGCCTGGTGTCCAGGGAGGAGACCCGCACTGACCTGGTCAGCCACCCAGATTGTCATTGGGGCCTCCAGAACACGGCTGTCCTTGTCAAAATAATTCCTGGCGTCTTCCGGCAGGGTCTGTCTGCAGGACGAGACGCACAGAATGTACTATTCCCCGTTCTGCTTTGCAAAACAACAGCAAAAGTGGCCAGCGAAGGTGCTTCTGAATCCCACATGCATAATGAAGGGGGCACTGTGGAGTCCCTCCTGTGATGTCTCCTGTCACCATGTGACACCAGGGCTGACTGGGGCCCTTGTGGACCCAGAGGCCTGAGATGTGCAGGCCTGGCAGGCCACAAGTTTCCCTGGCAGTGGCATGGGTGCAGGGACGGTGCTGGGGACTGGGTCTGAAGGCACCACTGAAATAGGAGTTCTCAGTCCAACAGTGGGTGTTAAACTCATAAGGAGCCTGTCACGTAAAGGACACCTACGACGTCCCTGCTGAAAGTCACATTAAAGCAGTTTGCTGTGACTCCAGTGGGGGTGAGCATCACCACAGGAATATCAGAAAATGCAAATAAGAAAGAAAAGCCCACTGTGTTTCGCGAGTGGCGGGGGCGGGGCAGGCCAGGCCAGGCAGGTCCCCGTCTTCATCTCACCCACACGGTCCCAGCCCCAGGGTGGCTCGAGGAAGGGACCGGCTCCATTCCTACAAAACTGGCAGCGAAATTAAAAGGGCTATGGCTTCCAGTGCACCAGAAAGCTGGAGCAAATGATCCCAAACCCATAGCTAGGAGACAGAAGCCCGAGACGCTGCCTTGTGAATGCTTCTGGGCGCTGCCGGGAGGAACCCACTGGTATGGGCAGAGAGAGACACAGGGCCCAGAGACGAAGCAGAGACAGCCTCCATGTGTGCACAGCCCGACTGAACCTTGGGGCCATGGATGGGGTTGAGGGGTTGCAAGGACGGCATGGCCAATGGCAGGGAGTCAGCCAGCGTGTCCTACAGGGAGATGGCACCCTGTGGGTGAACCATCCCTGACACCTTGTGCCCCACAGAGGGCCCCCCCACTCACCGGGGCAGGAACTTGAGCTGCACAGAGCAGGATGCCAGGGCCTGGATGTAGCCCGTTTCGGGCAGCAGCTCCAGGTGGCCTCTGAGCTCCTTGCATACCTCAAACCTCAGGCGCAGGGCCGCCTTCGACCTGCAAATGCACACAGGGTGCCAGTCAGGGCCACAGCACTGCGCCCCACACACCTCCTTACAGCTGTTAAATATCTGTAGTGGGTGTGGTGGTGCATGGCTGTTATCTCAGCCCTCAGGAGGCTGAAGCAGGAGGAACTCAAGTTTGAGAGCAGATTGGGAAACAGCTGGTGGAAGGCAGGCTGGGACTACACAGTGAGACCTGGCCTCAAAGAGCTGCACTGTATTTCTTTTTTATTTTATTTTTTTTGGTACCAGGAGTTGAACTCAGGACCTTGAGCTTGCCAGGCAGGTGCTTATTCCACTGAGCTACATCCCCAACCCCACACTGTATTTCTTTTTTTTTTTCTTTTTGTCTTTTTGAGACAGGGTCTCGCTCTGCAGTTCAGACTGGCCTTGAGCTTACTTTGTAGCCCAGGCCGGCCTTGAATTCACAACTATCCTCCTGCCTCAGCCTCTCGAGTGCTGGGATTACAGGCGTGCGCCACCATGCCCGGCGCCACACTGTATTTCTAATGACGGAGCCAGCAGCGGGTGTTAAACTCATAAGGAGCCTGTCACGTAAAGGACACCTACGACCAGCGTGAGCCAGGTGTGCCCCTGGCAGCCGGAGAAGCTGCAAAGCTCTGCTTTTTATGGATTGGTTTTTCTGAGATGAAATCTGATGAGAAATTCTTAAACATAAAAATACACCGCATCTGAAATACAGCCTCACCAATTCCTGGAGATAGTGGCTTTCTGGGAAGAATTCCTGCCAGGGGCTGCGGGGTTCAGGTCGGGTGGCCCTGGCCCCTCCAGTTCTACTTCCCCTGCCTGGGAGGCCATGGTGGCCAGGCCTCTGCCGATGGCCCGCGTTCCCGCACAGGGCCAGCAGAGGGCACCAGAACAGCTCTAGCAGGTCCCCTAGAGGTTCACTGCGGGCCCCAGGGCGGGCCTTCCTGTTTCCACCATGGTGCTCTCCCACACGCCCACCTCCTCGGCGTCCCTTCCAGAGCAGCCAGCACCCTGCTAAGACAGCCCTGGCCACAGCGCCTCCTCCTGCCCATGGTGCCCTCCTTTGTCCCCTACAAGGAAGCATCCTCAGGCAGCCTGATGGGAAGCTGTTCCCTGCTCCAGCTAGAAGGCATGGCCAGTGGTTCCAGAACCTTCTAGAACCTTCTGATGCCTCTTCAGAGTGCTGTGAATGATCCTTGTCTGTCCCATGGCTGTGGCCCAGGGACTCCCAGATGCCTACCCATTGTGTCCTTGAGGGCCGAGGGCACAGCGACCATGCAGCTGTGCTGTGGACGCTGTGTCGAAGCGTCATTGTGTCACCTGGACTGGCGTGGAGCTGCCCAGGGGATGGGGCAGACCACTCTAGGTGTCTGGGCGGTAGATGAGGCCCGGCCTTGGGTACTGGACGTGGTCCCTGGTTCCCGCCTCTGTGGCGCTGTCCCAGCTGTGCGTCCTGGCCGCCCTGATCAGAGCACCTCTGCTCTGCCACGGCCCTTCCTCTCTCTCTGTCTCTCCCCGCTCCCTCCCTCTCTCTCATGCTGATAAATGTGTGGCTTGGGTGGGTTGAGAGCAAAACTCCCCGTGGCTCCCTCTCCCTCCCATGGGACCTGGCAGCACTCTGCAATCTGAGATAAAACCCTGTGCAACCCTGTCGTCCAGCGGACCCACTGAGCACCTCGCCCACGCCCCCACTCTTGATGGAGCAGCTTCCTCCCAGGTGGCAGCGGTGCCCCACTGAGGAGCCGGCCGGGCGGGTCCCCAGGCGCAGGGCAGGCTGCCTGGGGATGCCAGCTGCTCCTCCATGGAGCGTGGCCAGAGGCCCATCAGGGACGACATGCCCAGGGCCTTCTCCCCGGGTGAGGCTGCCTGTGGGCCAGGGGACACCCGAGGCCCAGTGTCGGCAGCGTCCCACCCTGTGGCCAGTGTGCCAGTGAGAGCCGCAGAGCGGGACCACCCAGCCCCCACGCTGCATCACACGTCAGAGGTCTTTGCCCGACATTCTGACGTCCTCGAGCCCCAGCAGACCACCAGCTTCCTGCTCAGGCTTCGTCTGAGACTGGCATCACCCCTCTCCCAGGAGCAGACCAGCCCTCGTCCGGTGCCCTGCGCAGGGCGGGAGCCCAGACAGAGCTAAACAGCATGACCCATCCTGGCAGGGGCCAGGGCTGGAGAGCCTGGACGGCGGCCACTCAGGGGCTTGAGCAGGTGATGCCACCCTTGGGCCCAACCCTCTGGACCTTCCAGTGTCTGGAGCTCCGGTGTGGAAGGACAGGGCACCTGGATGCGCGGGGTCCCCTCCTGCCAGACGCCAGGGGCTCACCTTGAGCGCACGAGCACAGAGTCCTGGTACAGCCGGTCGTACATGCAGATCTTGAGGTCCACGTTTGGCCTGGGCACCCACACTGGCACGTCCACCGCCACGCCCGTGGCTCTGAAATACAGCTGGAGTTGGACACGTGAACTCAGTGTGGGCCCTGAGCAGGAAAGCCCTGTGGGCTGATTTTTTAGCTCATAGTAGAGAGTTGGTCAGTAAACAAAGCTCTGGTGTTTTTCATATCACTGTCATTTTGAGGGTATTGAGGTGCTCTACCACTGAGCTACCCCAGCAGCACTATTTTTATTTACTTATTTATTATTTTTTATTTTTTGGAACCAGGAATCAAACTCAGGACCTTGCGCTTGCCGGTCAGGTGGCAAAGTTATGCTGCTGAGCTATGTCCCCAGCCTTATGCCTCTGAGCTATATCCCCAGCCTTTTATGTTTTATTTTGAGACGAAGTCTTGCTAGATGGCCCAGGCTGGAATCCAACTTGAGATTATCCTGCCTCAGCCTCCCTGGTAGCTGAGATGATATGTGCCCAGCCACATCATTATCATTAAAAAGTTACTTTTTTTTTGGTACCAGGAATCAAACTTAGGACCTTGCGCTTGCCAGGCAGGTACTTGTGCCACTAAACTATATTCCTGGCACTTAAAAGTTATTCTTTATATCAACATTTTCAAACATAAAAAATAGAACAGAATAGTAAAACACCATGTGCCAAGCACCACTGTACCCACAGTACATGGGATCCATGGAAACGGCAGGCCTCGCCCTCTGGGTACTGTGAAGTGTGTACTGTGGGACCTGGAGGAGCCTTGGAGAGCCCAGGCTCAGGGCACTGTGGGCACTGCAGCGATGTGGGCTGTCGTCTGGTGCTGCTGGCACAGGGTGCGGGTGGACTTGGCATGCGGTGGGTATTGTCCTAGGTCACATGGCTGCGTCCAGCCCTCCAGCTCCTGGCCCAACTACCCCAGCAGGTCCACCTGCCCCTTGCTTCCGCCCCACCACTGCAGATCCGCCTGGACAGCCAGTGCCCGCTTCACCCAGGGGCCCAGGCTGTGGGCGGCACTAAGGAAACTAAGAATTCCAGGGAAGTCGAGCAGACCCAGGAGTTGAGGCTGATGCAGGGGAAATGACAGGGACGTGGAGGCCGGGCTGTGCCAGGTCAGGGGACCAGACGTGTCAGGAGGGACCGAGTCAGGTGGGCACAGGGGCTGGGACAGGAGGGACTCGGGTGACATCTGGTCGGGACCGCCCCACCACAAAGGCACAGACAGGATGAGTGGGAACAGGACCGAACCAGTGAAAACAGCACAGCCAGTGAACCTCGCACTTGGCTCCACGCACAGACCCCCCAGGAGGGCAGGGGTGGTGAGGCTGGGGGGACGGCAGAGACCCCCAGGGGACTAGAGGGCACTGTGAGGGGCAGAGGCTGTGTCCTTGGAAAGGGGTGCGGCTGAGGTGAAGGCAGAGCAGGAGGGGGCAGGGATGGGAACTGGCTGGCGTGAACGTTGACAGCTGAGATGCAGGGGTGCCTGCTGCCTGTGCGCAGCACATTTCAATGGTCAGGAAAATGAGTGCTTGTATGTCATTTTCTGATGATAATTTACTAAAAGGCAAAGTTAACCCGGGTGTAGTGGTGCATGGCTGTAATCCTAGCACTGAGGGCGGCTGAGGCAGGAGGATTGTAAACTTGAGCCCAGCCTGGGTAATTTAGAGACTTGGTGAGACCCTGTCTTAAAAAAGCAAAAAAGGAGCTGGGGATGTAACTCAGCAAGCAGCCTTGGTACAGCCCGCAGGGCCACACACAAACAGAGCCCGTGTGAGTACACACGCATGTGCAGATGCTTGTGGGCATGGTTCTGCACACACGTGCGCATCTGTGTGCACGTGCCCGCCGTGGGTGCTGGTGTGCCCATGCGTGGGCTGAAGTGCCGCATCCATGCCCTGACCGCGCCTCAAGGGCACAGCGCTGCTCCTGGGCGGGCGGCGCGGGCCGGGCTCACTCACCGTCGGGCACTGCGGGTTCTTGAACACCACCTGGAACCTGGCTTGGACCTCGCCCGGAAGGGCTGGGGTGAAGAGCACCGGTACTCTGACGGAGCTGAAGGGCCCGATTTCCCCCTCGGTCACCTGCGTGGTCAGACGGGCCTGGGTCAGCAGTCACCAGGGCTTTCGTTAGATGCCTCCCACTGACCCTGAGACAGCCAGGCTTCATCAGGGCCACGTCCCTGGGTGGCCGTTTGGTCGAGCCCTGGCCCTGCCTGTGAGCACGCGCTTCTGTGCTCCAGCCCGGCTGCCCCTGCACCCTCTGCCCTGTCCATGTAGGGCCTGCGGGCAGTGTCTTCTGCAGCCAGCCCTGCTGCCCGGTCCTGCCTCACTCAGGGTGGGGCGGGGGCCCTGCTCTGGCGGAGACCACACGGTTCCGGCTGCAGGCCCAGCCTGGCTCTGGGCAGGAGGAGGCGGAGCCGAGCGGCTCCTGCTGCACAGCTGGGTGAATGGGGCCAGGCTGACCTCGCCCAGCATGATCTCCGCCTGGGCCTCGCTGGGGATCGTCACCACGCCGCTGGCTGTAGGTGCACCCTTGAGTTCTGGAAGACAGAAAACTCGGTAGAAACAAACCCCAAGTGGCAGTCCCTGCTCTGGACAGAGCTGGAGACAGCCGGACTAGACAACAGCAATGGTGTGGGACCCCGTGCTGTAAATTAGGGAGCATGGTGGGGCAAGGCACAGCCACCCTGAGCAGGCGGGCGGGACTCGGGGTGTCCAGGGCCAGCTCCCTGGGAACACAGCCATTGAATAGGCACAGCAGAGCCCCTTCCACACACTGCAGGATGGTGTGGACACCACATGGGAAAAGCAGCCTCAACCTCCCCTTCGGCCGCACACGGCCCTGCACGCAGGAGCTGTCTCGTCTCTCCGAGCTTGGGCAGAGAAGGGTGGCTGAAGGTATGCACACAAGTGCACACACAAACCCACAGAGAAATGACTGATGTTTGGGAAGCTTAAAATTAGGAATTCTGACTCCGGAAGGGATGCTTTAGCCTGGTGTGCTAGTTCATGCCTATAATCCCAGCACTCCGGGAGGCTGAGGCAGGAGAATCACAGATCTGAGTCCAGACTAGGAACTTAGCAACCTTATCTCAAAATAAAAAATAAAAGGACAAGAAATGAGGAGCACTGCCCCGCCTGGGGCTCGCAGGGGTGCATGGGATGTGGGGTGGCCGCCATGGCTCAGGTTGGCAAGGGGTCCCTGGCAGGGGCGGTTCACAGGGAGCCCCCCCCGTGGTGCTGGCCACCCTCAGAGAGCCTGATGGGGAGCTGCCACTTGCTCTGTGGAGCAGCAGGACGGTCATGAATGCAAGATGGCACCACAGCGCAGGACGCTGGGCCGGGGTCCCCGCCATGTCCTTGGGTTCCATCCACACCTGCTCACTGCCCCGGGGACCACAGAGGTGTGGCGCAGACAGCCCAGCCCGCAGGGGCCCCGCTCGGAGCCAGCCTCTGCCCTCAGTGCTGCCCTCATGCCCCACAGCTGGCCTGGCGTCAGAGCCGGGGATCCCCTCAATCTGTTGGCTTCACACGGATGCGAATGGTAACCCACTCCATTAACCAGTATTTTTCGAGAATCTGAATATTTTCTTGTTTGGTACCACCTGAAACTAAAGCCCTGGGAGGATTCCGAGACTCTGGCGCCCCTGGCCCATCCTGGGCCCCAGGCTCTGGGCTCCCCTGGAGGGTAGACAGCCCTAGGGTCAGGGCTCCAGACCAGGCTCTCACCCTCCGACTGCACCGACTCCTTCTGGCTCTGGCTGCCAGGCAGGGAGGAAGTGCTGGCTTCCAGCAGTGTGTCAGACACACCGAGCGTGAGATTTCTGTCCTCGAGGGTGTACAGGCTACTCTGGAAGGCGCGAAGCTCTTTAGTACTCTCTTCCCGTCAGGCTGCACACCCGGCCAGGGGTGCAGGCCCCTCCACGTGCTGCAGGTGTCACCCAGGTCCCTGGGCAGGGACCAGCCGTTCCCGCCCCCTTGTCAAGCCTCAGGGTCCTCCGGGGACGCCCTGCAAGGTGGTGGCCCCTGCAGCCCCCCGCTCCCCCCTGTTACCGTGCGCTCAGGGGGGCCAGCGTCCTGCTGTCTCTGAGCTGGGGCCGCAGCTGTGCTGCCCGCTCTCGGGGCTCTGCTCACTCGAGCCCCTCTCACCCTTTCCTCTCTCTCACAGTTGCCCTGGGGCAGAGGCCCGACAGCTGCTCCTGGCGAGGAGCGGGCAGGACCCTCACCACTTTCAGGACGGACTGGGAATCTTCCAGCTCGAAGGGCTCAGAGGCCGGGAGGACCTGGAACGCGGTGCCCAGGCCCCCGGCGTTGGTCAGCGTGATGGTGCGGGACGTGGTCTCTCCCACCACATAGCTGCCAAAGCTGATGAGCTTCTTGTCCAGGGACAGCTGCCAAAGGACACCCGAGTGAGCCCGTGCCCCCCGGCCAGCTCAGCGCCCCTCATGAGGAGGGCGGGTCGGTCAGCACTGTTGTTGCGGCCCAGGGGAGCCGACGCCAGGCCAAGTCGCCTGTCCTGATTGTCACCTGCGCCTGCAGGGCCACAGACAGCCCAACCTCTGCCCCAGGTGTGGACTGCATCTGGCTCCAGCAGGGGCGGCCAGGGCTGCTGTGAAGGCATGCTCAAGCTGCATACCTCACACCAGGACATGACCCGTCCCGGAAGTCATGGATGGCTGTGTTGATGGAGACACCCGAGGTGCCAGGCCCGGTTTTCAGACGGTCAAGCCAGCAGCAGCCTCACCCAGGGATGACTGGGAGGGTTGGGGTGGTGGTAGCCAGTGGGGGCCACCTGGGAGGGCCCCAGCTGTGAAGGGGACGCTCTTCCCTCCACGCACAGCCGGACGGCTGTTCTGGGCATTGCTGTGAGGCCGGGCTGCCCGCTCCCTGCTGCCCAGGCAGAGTGGCTGAGTTTCCCTGAGAGACCAGGGTCCAGCTGGGAGCCCACCTGCTCCCTCCCGGAGGCACGTCTATGGCAACGATGCAGGGCTCCCCTTCTCCTGGTCCTCGAGGGCCTCTTCCCACCTCTCTGCACCCCCGGGCGCCCTGCAGGCACCATCCCCAAGGCACACAGCACCGTCTGGTCAGAAATGGCCTCGAGTCTGATGTGACCTAGTGTCCAGTGTACAGGAAATACAGGGGACAGAGGGCCACAAGGAACCACGGGCAGCAACCACACATTTCCAGAATGTCCCAGAGAAAACCTGCTGGCCAATCCCATGACCAAGGAGCTGGGAGGGAGAGAGGGAGGCTGCTGTTCAGGTCACTGGAAACCCAAGAACACGGTTGTCAGTGCTTTGGGCAGCTGGCCACCAAAAGCCATTACAAAAGGCAGCTTGGGCAGTAGGCAATGGAGGGCCGGGGCTCAGGCAATAACCAGGAATGCTGCCAACTCTGCCTCCACCCCCTCCTTCCTCTTGCCCCGGAGCTGGGCTCCCTGGCTCCTCATATTGGACCTGGACGTGGACTTGAGGTGGCCAGGGAGTCTCTGGGCACCGTGAGGTAAGTAAGGGCTGAAACCTACTTGGCTGGCAGCCTTCACTTCTGGGTCCCATCACCCTCCACAAGACGCTCACGCCCCAAGGTCCAGAGCCGGGCCTAGAAGACCCCTGAGCATCCCAGCCTGGGTCGGGGGACCACAGTGGGCCTGGGCCTGTGGCTGTGACTCAGACCTCACGGCCTCTGCCTTTGGTGGAGTTGGGAGTTGTCTGCCGTGCAGCCTCTTCGTGGTGCTTGCTGGAGACTGGGAAGTCAGGGCAGGGTGGAGGGCTGAGGTCAGGGTGTTGCTAAGCTACTTGGAGGTGGGTCAGCAAAACTGCTGGTGGAGAGATGGAGGCATCATGGCAGACGCTGACCACCACTGGCCATGGTAGTAGGTCTATGGGCGTTCCCTGTGCCTTCTTCCTGCTCTGCATTATGTTTGAGAATTGTCCCAAGCACTGTGAAAGCGGCAAGCTGCATACCCAGGGCTGCCGGGTGGAGCAGGGCTCAGGGTGAGTCTGAGAGGCAGGGAATCAGTCCAGGCCTCCCTGGCACTGGTCTGCCCTGTCCCCCAGGCAGGGCACAGCATGACTGGCGTTGCCAGCCAGGAGCCTAGTGAGGCAGACTTCAACTTACAGAACATTTCTTTGTTGAGCATTTCAGTGGGACAGAAAATCCGCCTGTCTGAGCCAGAAAGGAGACGCTCCCTTCCAGATCTCTGTTTATCTAGAAACAGAACGGTAGCCACCATCGTCACCTGAATGGGAGCCCCAGGCCTGTCACACAGGGCTCCAGAAATGTCTAGGAGGAGCCCCACAGGACAGGGACACCCACTTGCCCACGGGGACCTTAGGGTGGGAGGAACGACCAACCGAACCCCGCCCGCATCTTGGGCGCCATAATTGGGGATTAAACGGCAAAGTGGCGCTGTGACCCGGCCACTCACCATGGGCTTGAAAGTAACGAGCACCTCGCAGGACATCCCCGCTGACAAGGGGCCGGGAGGGTCGAAGCTGAGGGCACAGTGCTTGAGTCACTGTGGGGCGGACGCCGGCCATGCACACCCCTCAGGGCCCCCGGGCTCCCCCGCCGGCCATGCACACCCCTCAGGGCCCCCGGGCTCCCCCGCCCCGCCTGTCTTGACACGGGTCCCGACGCCCAGGGGTGTACCCTGCTGCCCCCATCTCCTAGCCCGGGAGACACTTGGGCAATGCCGGGCCTCTCCGGGGACCTGCGCCTGGCCTGTGGCCAAGGATGTCGGCTTTAATACCACATGGGGGGCACCCAGAGAAACAGCCCCCATTGCCCGGGGAGACTGAAGGCAGCGCTGCCTGGTCTGGCGCTGGCCGAGTCCCCAAGAATTCCTGAGACCTGCCCTCCTCTCACAGTGCTGGATGCCACCAGATTTGCTTGCTTTCAGGCTGCACACACTAAAAATGTAACATCACAACTTGCCCTGGCAGTCTCCCCATCAAGCCAGATGGAAGGGAATCCAAAACGTTTTAGTTGGGTGTGTTGTGCACACCTATAATCCCAGCACTGCAGAGGCTGAGACAGGAGGATCAGCCTGAGTTTGAGGCCAGCCTCGGCTAGGTAGTGAGTTCAAAGCCAGTTCAAAACCACACAGCAAGACCCTGTCTCTAAAAACAAACAAAACCAAAAAATCCCCAAGCTTTCTGAGTGTGAGGGGGCACTCTGGTGGCAGATTACACAGAAGGCGGCAGGACAGGCCTGGCTGGGCAGCAGGTCAGGATCCACGGTGTCGGAAGCGCAGGGCATAGCGGGCCAACCTGGGGCAGCACAGGGCCAGGTGCTCACACCACAGAGCCACCAAGCCAGGCCTCTCCGAGACGCAGAGTTACAAGTGTTGAGGACATAAATAGAGAATTACAGCCACGAGAAGGAACGAGACGCTGTTGAGAAATGCCAGCTCATCTGAAAAAGGACGTGGAATTTTTGGAAAGAAGAAACAGCACCCGAGGAAGACGCAGCGTCAGCAGCTTCGGCAGCCGGTCAGACACAGCTGGGAGGCAAGCGGAGCGCTGGCGATGCCTCACCCGGCCCAGAAAACAGGGATGGGAGGGCAAGGGTGACACCAGGGCTGAGCAGGCCTGGAACCGATCAAACTGAGTTAGGGCCGGGCATAGTGGCACACGCCTGTAATCCCATCACTCGGGAGGCTGAGGCAGGAGGATCTTTGTGGGTTCAAGACTAGCGTGGGCTACAAAGTGAGCTCAAGGCCAGTCTGAACTGCATAGAGAGACCCTGTCTCAAAAAGCCAGAAAAAAGAACCCAAACAAACACCCTCCTCAAAATCCAAAAAAGTGAGTTAGGAAGCGCCATGAGTTGGAGAGAAGCAGCCGCAGCACTGGGTTGCAGAACCTGCGGCCCAGGGCCCTGGAACCAGGCGGCGCAGCCCTGGGGTGAGGGGAGGCCTGTCCACGGGAACCCAGGAGGGCGACACGAGCCTCGCAGGAGTGACCCCGGGCCCCAAGCAGTGAGCCTTGGAGATCTCAGGCCTCGGACCTCTATTACCCACAGGGTGAGACAGACGTGGGCTCCTGCCCCGCTCATCTATGCAAGCATCTGTGGACATCGAGAGGGGCCTGGGAAACTGCGGGCGGAGGCAGAGGGCCTGGGGCCCACCTGACTCAGTGCCCCAAGGGGACAGCGGCTCAGGCCTGGGGACTGAGCAGGATCAGGTGACCAGCCCTGCTCGGGGAGAGGCCTGGGTACTGTCTTAGGAGGGAGGGAGGTCCCAGGGCCCGAGAGCTGGGGAGCGTCAGGGTCCTGTCCAGCCGAACCCCCTTTCAGAGGCTGCGTGTCACGCTAACTGTGAACCAGAAGCTGGGCTGTGGTAGCGGAAGAAAAGGAAGAGAAAGCTGCCTGGAAGGGAAGGCCGGGCTCAGGGGCCCAGGACAGGAGGAGAACACTGGAGGCGAACAGGAGGTGGGAAACAGCCCGTGAAAGGGAACCAGAGGGAAAGCAGCGGTGGGGGAGATGCAGTGAGTGCCTGCCTAGGTGCGGCTTCCACAGTGAGGGAGCAGACCACAGCACAGAGCAGACAGCCTGGGCAGAGTGGCCTCATCTCCCAGGAGGAGGTCAGCATCAAGACGGGGAGGCTGAGAGGACCCGGGGAAGCTGCGCTCCGACAACGTGGACAGGAGCACAGGGGAGGAGCCCCCAGCTCCCTCGGGGACCCAACCCGAGGGTTTACGCCCAGACCCCCTGGGGGCCCCACCAAGCCTCACTCCACGCGGATGAAGTCCCGGAGGTGCTGCTCCACGCCCACCAGCTTGCAGTAGTTGAGTGTGTAGGTGGCGTTTATCAATGTGATCTTCTTCTTGTACACTTTGCCAACATCAAAGTCCTAGAGGGTTTGGGGAGGCCTCAGCACCCCGAGCCTGCAGCAGCCATGCACATCAGACCGCACTGTGCAGCCGAGAGGTCCCAGGAATGATCCCTGGATTTCTGCCTTGCAACTGGCCCCAGGTACGTGAAGAGCAGGTGGGTGTCACAGGCTACCAGCAGGTGGAAGACAGTAGGGACTTCAGGCCACCCATCTCACCCTTGGGGTGACCTGGGCCACCTCACGGGAATCCAGAATTGCTGGTTCACCTCCCAGTTGCCTGGGCTCCTGCCAAGCCACCGAACCCGGGGAGGCCCAGGGAACCCTGTCTGCCAGCCTGAGGTTCTACCCACTTTCCCAAGGTCAGTGAAAGGCACTGGGAGGTGGGGAGGTGGGCAGGCCCACCTTGAAGTGGATGTGCTCAGGCTTGCTGTTGAATGGGCGGCCTTTGAACTCCCGGCCGGAGGCCACCTGCTTGTGGACCACCCCGCTGCGGAGTCGCTCCAGCGTGCAGGCCAGGATGTCCTTGTCCATCTTTGTCCCGCCCACAGGCTTCCGGTCCATGTCCTCCTTGGGCACCTGAAGTTCACAAAGACAGAGGCCTGTGCTGCCCCAAGGGCTGGCAGCCATCAATGGGACGGGGGATCCAGCACCCTGGAGCCACCGTGGCCCCAGGCCAGGCAGCCAGTCTGCACACTGCTCCAGAAAGAGAAACAAAGGGAAGCAAAGCTGAAATGTGTGGAGGGTGGGCCAGGCCCGGAAAGGACGGCAGGGGGAGAACCTTCTAGATCACTGAGTCAGGGCAAGAGACAGTTTTTGAAAAGTCTGGCAGGAAGTGACTTCTCCAGTGGCATCACTGAAAATGGAGCTCTGGCTGGAGGGAAGGCCACCTCCTGACTGCCATTTGCGGCCAGAACCCAGTGCCCAGGCCTGCCCTCACCCTGTCCCATGGTGCGTGTGTGGAATCTGCTTGGGCCTGCCCAGCTGTACCCACCACTCCCCAAGGGGCCACAGAGGAGACAGCTGGCTTGGCCTGTCCCTTCCATGTCCCCAGAACCAGCAGAACCAAATGGCTTTGCCTGACAGCCATAGTGACTGATGTTTACAGAGGCCAGAGGGCAGGTGACACCCCTTGGAGGGGCACAGCTGCAGTCTGAGCCCGGGGCTGGTGCTGGGTGGATGTTTGCTAAAATGCCATCAAGGGATGCCCAGCTCATCCTTCTCCAGCAGTGCTTCCCTGATGGTACACAGGGTGATGCAGGGCTCCCCTGTCCCTCCGGGCCACATGACACAGCATGTGACGGACCATGGATGCCCCCGCAGTGCAGCCAGGCAGCGAGAGGCTGCATGCAGGATCATATTGCACACGCAGCTCCCTGGGCCTCCGTGAGGGGAGGAGCTGAGGCTGGGGGAGGAAGGTGGCTGGGCTGTGGAGAGCACAGGGGGCAAGGCAGCGCTACCTGGTACTGCCTGTGGTCCTCGCTCCACAGCCCAGGGATCTCTGGCTCAGCCAGCGTCTCCTCCTCCAGGTTGGTGGCTGCAGGCATCATTTGCATGGACTCGCTGGAGGCTTTCAGCAGCAGGGACATGGGGTCCATCACTGCCTGGAGGTCCTGCGGGAGAGAGGAGCGGGAAGCTGTGTGCACGGAAAGGCAGCACATGGGGGCAGGAGGAGACCCCTTGGGTCCCATGGCAGCCCCACGTTTGTGGCTCCTCTGTGCTGCACCGGGACGAGGCCCCCCACGCACACTTGGAACTTTCTCTACTTAAAGCAGAACACGCTAATTTGTGCGTGTTGCTAAACGGTTTCTACCAGCTCAGCAGAGCACACAGACACCCGAGTCACGAGTCCCGGGGACGTCTGGCTGGAGGATGCGCTGTTACCGCCCACCTGCTCCTCACCTCAGGTTGTCGCTGAAAGCACCCGGGCCCTGCAAGGCCCCGAGACCTGAGAGGGCAGCGTGATGGCCCCCCAGGCAAGCTTGCAAACATCGTCGCTCTGCTCACCAGCGAGTGCCTGGTAGCTACGGGGGCCGCCTTCCCTTCACAGAAGGCAGCGATGTAGCTCCAGGTCCGGTCCCTCAGCGTCCGGAGCGCAGTGGCCTTGGCCGGGGGCCGCTGTCTCTTCCTGAGGCTTTCCTCCTGGGCCTCCTCCTTCAGGATCCGACTGACGATCTCCTGCTTCCGGAGCTTCTGCTCCTCCTCGAAGGCCCTACAGGAAGCGCTTCTCAGAAGACAGCCAGATGCCTGCTGCACCTGGCGCCACCCAGCACCAGCCCGGGTCAGACCAAAGGGGGCAGACAGACAGGCGCAGTGTGTCGCACTCAGGGCTTCATGACACCAGGATGCTGCCCCCATGAGGACCCAGAGGCCACACCCAGGCTGACCCTCAGCAGTGCCCAGTCAGGGTCAGGATGAAGGAAGAAAGCGTTAGGGACCATATATGGACTTGAGGCAGGAGAGTCGGCCTCGCTAGGACCCTGGCTCAGGGAGCCCACCCAACGTGGGGATGGGAGGCTGGGCTGAACTCCACCAGGTAGACCAGAGTGGGAAGTGGAGGGCAGTGTGGAGGCGGGGGAGGAAGAGGAGGAGGGGGGGAGGAGGAAGAGGAAGAGGTGGAGGAGGAGGAGCATGTGGAGGAGGAGGAACAGGTGGAAGAGAAGGAAGAGGAGGAGGAAGAGGTGGAAGAGAAGGAAGAGGAGGAGGAAGTGAAGGAGCAGGAGGAGGAGGAGAAAGAGGAAGAGGAGGAAGAGGTGGAGAAGGAGGAAGAAGAGGAGGAGGAAGAGGTAGAGGAAGAGAAATAGGAAGAAGAGGAAGAGAAGGAGGAAGTGGAAGAGGAGGAGAAGGAACAAGAGGAGGAGAAAGGAAGAAGAGGAAGAGGTAGAGGAGGAGGAAGAAGAGGAGGAGGAAGAGGTGGAAGAGGAAGAGATGGAGGAGGAAGAGGAGGAGAAATAGGAAGAAGAATCAGAGGAGGAAGAAGAGGTGGAGGAGGAGGAGGAAGAGGAAGAGGTGGAGGAAGAGGAAGAGGAGGAGGAGGAGGAGGTGGAAGAGGAGGAGGTAGAGGAGGAAGAGGAGGAGAAATGCAAAGAAGAATCAGAGGAGGAGGAAGAGGTGGAAGAGGAGGAGGAGGAGGCTGCCGAAAGCAGAGCTGTCTCAGCACACCAAGGCCCCTGGAGGTGGTGAACACAGGCCCTTGCTCCCTGGGGTTCTGCAGCAGGGGGCAGAACATGGATGGAGGGCCGTGGCAGGAGCGAGGGTCCCCGGTTAAGAGTCAGGTGGGTCATGGCCAAGTGGCCAAGTGGGGCTGGGAGGGGCTGGGAGCCTCCTTCACGCCACAGCCACCCGAGCCCACTGCCCGCACCGCCTCTGCGCCTCCAGCTCCTGGCGGCGGCGCTGGTGGGAAAGGTGCTTGAAGGCGTCCCTGCCCTGGGCCAGGACTGCCTGCTGCTCTGCCTGGGCCTGCTGCTCCTCCTGCTCCGCCCGGGCCCGGCCCCAGGCCTGAAACTTCCGCAGCGTCTCCTGCAAAAGGCAGTGCTGCAGCTCTGGTGTCTGCACAGGTGCAAGCAAGTACACGCCTGTTCACACGCTGACACACACGCACACACAGGCACACCTACCCACACGTGCGCACACACCCGCCCCTCTCCAGGGGACGCTCTGCAAACTCCACAGCTCTTCCTGTCTCCTCCTCCCAAACCCAGTCCTGGGTGTGCAGGGCTGGCCGGGCTGGCCACGCGGCCCCACCCTAAGCCTTTGGGTGCTGCCTCCCACCGTTCCCACACTCCTGCAAGGTCAGACCCCACACTGGCCTGGGCCCCGTGTTCCTGGGGGCCCCTCCTGTTCCCCGGGCTGAGACCCTGAGCACAGGCAGGAAGCCATGGTGTCAGCTCAGCGACTGCCGGGGTCCGGCCGTGACAGGTCCCGGGGGACTCCGCCAGCCCCAGGCCGCGCCTACCCGGTTGGTGGCAATGCTGTTCTTCAGTGCCAGTACGGCCTCCATGCGCCGCTGCAGGTGCTCATGGGACTCCAGCTCTTCCTGCCGCTCTCGCTCCCGGATCCTGGAGGAAGACACACCGTAAACAGGACAGTAGGCGGGCGTGCGGGCAGTGAGGCAGCGGCCTCGGGTGCTGCGCCCTCCGCCAGGAAGCCAGCAAAGGTGACAGCAAGAAGGCAGCAGGGAAAGGATTTGGTTGCCTTCTCCCGCCTTGGGCTCACTGTGCCTCACGGTCTTTTTCTAAAAATAAAGAGCTCAGAACTAAACCCACAGATTAGCTGGGTTCTGATGGCGACTTAATGGGCTCACAGTAAACCAGGGGGCGTTTCAGAACAAATGTGAGGGACCCACACCCTCAGCTCCCTTGGGGCCAGGACAGGAAGTGAGGTCAGAGGGAACGCACCGGCCCAGGGAGGCCTTCAGGAACTTCACCGCCACCCGGTGGTTCTTCTGGGCATCTTCTACCAGCTTCTGGTGCCTGAGCCCCAGCTCCCTCTGGGTGTGCAAGGACCTCCTGCGGCGACATAGGCAGGGGACGTGGCTCCTGCTGCAGCCTCTCCCTGTGCTGGCTCCGCCAGGCCAGGAGCAGCAGGCAGGGCTGGCCCCACGGGTGACACAGAGGAAGCAGGGGGTGCACCGGGACTCCGGTCTCCAGAGGTGGGGCCATGAGAGGGGAAAGGGTCAGCAAATATGGGGAGATGAGGCCCCGGAGGAGCAGGCAATGAGGGGCAGACAGGACCGGGATGGGGTGCCTTGGGGCGGGGGTGTACCCTGGGGCAGCCGGGTGGAGGAGGGGCTCATGATGAGAAGCCAGATGCTCAGGACAGGCCTGGGCAGTGCCGCGAGAGGACACCCGGGACGCCGGGGGCTGAGCCTGAGCACTCCAGGACTGGAGTGGGCGGAGGAGCAGCCAGAGGTGGGTAAGCCAGGAACAGCCCCTGGGAGGTACGGCTTTGGCGCTGGCCCTGGTGACTGTGGCTAGAGGCCTTCCGGGGAGCCGGGGCAGGGCATGGCAGGCCCGCAGGTAAATCCCTGGTGCCAAAGCCAGCGGGATCAGGGGCTTCCTAGGGCTGCTCACCGGATCCGGAGCCGGCGGTTCCTCTCTGCCTTCCCCGAGGCTTCCTCCTCCCTGCGGAGCTGCTGGGCTGTGTGAGCCCGCAGGAACCCTTCCCTGGCCTTGGCCTCCTCACGGTTGCACTTCCGGACGCCCTCCAGCTGCCCCTTCTTGACCTCGAGGTGCCACATGGTGTTCCTGGAAGACCAGAGGTGCTCGCTGGAGACCGGGACCAGCCTCTGTGGAGCAGCCCTCCCGGTCGGGGCTGTCTGGCACCAAGCTGTGATGAGCACTCTGGGGATGCTGGACGCCCCCATGACAGGTCAGCTCTGTCCGGGGAGCCTCTTTTCAACGTTTCCCACCCTGGAGAGTCACAGCCCCACCACCTGCATCCAGGCTAGAGCCCAGCACTACACTTCCTGTGGGCCCACGGGCGCTTGCTCCTCTGGCCTAGGGCTGGGGCAGCTGACCACTGCAGGCCCGAGTGGGCCTGAGGGAACTTGGGGAAGGTCGCTGGGACTGTCTTCTGCAGGCCTGGGGCCCTGCCAGTCCTCAGCTGAGTTTGCTGCGGCTGGGAGTCTGATGGTGGCCAGCCCTGACACTCGTTGGACAGGGACCTGCCCGGCTTCTGGTCTTGGGCACATCTGTCCTGGCTTGTTGGTGACATACACGCCCCTTGGCTGCTGGCACAGGAAGTTCCCAGGCCTCTTCAGCAGGGAACACAGGACCCCCTCTTGAGGTGCAGCAGCGGAGTTTGTGGGTACGGGTCACTGGACAGCAGCAGCAGAGTGACCCTGGGGCTCCAGGGGCAAGCAAGCGCCTCACACTCAGCCAGCTTGACATTTGCCGTTAGGTCTTTTCAGCTGCTCCACATCATATCAGGAAAATTCCCTGCGGCTCCTGCTTTGTTATAAGCGCTTCTCAAAAACCATGACCGCGTTGTCCAGTCCACTCCCTCTCCCTGCTGCAGAACCCGCTCTAACAGTCACTGCCTGTGGCCCCCACTTTTCTGCAGTGCAGGGCATGGAGCCCAGGCCCTTCACTGAGCTTCACCCCAGCCTCTTGCCTTCTATTGTGAGACAAGGTCATGCCAAGTCCCTAAATTGCCCAGGCTGCACTAGAAGTTCTGACCCTCCTGCCTCAGCCTCCGGGTGCTGGTGTGCGCGCCCTCCTGGCTCATGGCCCCTTGGCTGAAGTCAGCCTCCTCGCGGCTGTGCGCAGCTTTCTCCCAACACGTGGACAGCGCATGCTGCGTGCGCCCAGCAGCTCCTGGGTCCTGGGAGAGGAGTCCTGAGCGGCCCGCTGTGTGCACCTCACACGTGGCAGGAGCCGTCGTCATGCTCCCCCCAGGACTTCCCGTCTCCTTCCTCAGGAGCTTGGTTTATGCTCCCCTTCCCCACGCCGGCCCCGGTGTCGGCAGTTGAGGGTTCACGGCTCTATGTGCTTCGCAGGGCTGCTGTGGTCTTTGCTGAGTAACGTGAAGCCCTCGATCCCTGTACTGGGTGGGGTTGCTCCTCTCCTTTGCCACCCCACTTTCTCGACAGTGGCCCCCACGCCGACCTGACCTGATGGTGCAGTGGTGCTCAGAGAGTTTCCGTCCACCCCGCTCAGGACTCATGCCGTTCTCCACCCTGGGCTCTGAGCGTCCTGTGACTCTGAAGAGAATCAGCCATTTGCGGGGTGTGTGTGTGTGTGTGTGTGCTACTTCTCCCTGTGCTATGGTCTCAGGGTTAGGGGTCTCTTGTGCCACAGGGAGGGTCGGGGCTGGCCGATCCTGCTGCTGGGACAACACTGGGACCCTGGGAGTTTCAGATCAATGCAAGTGTGTTCCTTGACGTTCTGGACACCCCGGGTCTGAACCGGAGGCTCCAGCGGTTCCAGGTCTGCGGATGACCCATCCTGCCTGATGGCACGGTCCAGCTGTCCTCACGGATGCACAGAACGGGCGACCTGGCTGTCCTAGCTCTTTCCCGGGGACACTTAACCCTTGAGGTCGCCTCGCTTCCCAGGCCTGCACGGCCTCCGCCGCCTTCCTCAGGGTTAAGGTCCCCACATGGACTCTGAAGGGACACATGCATTTGCGGGAAGTGGGGAGAGCCAGAGGCTTGGTCCAGCCCTGGTGAGCACCCTAGCAGCCCTTTCAGATAAGGCTGGTCCCCAAGAGCCCAGAGGCCCAGAAACGTCTATCAGGGTGCCAGCCCCTCCTCTACACCCCCAGCCTGGAGCTGGCAGGAGCCAAGGGGCCTGGCTCAGTATGACCTGGTGCCACACCAGGGCACGGGGCCACTGCACATCCACAGAGCCTGGGAATGTAGGAGAGAGACTCCTTTACAAAGCCAGGTTTTAAGTTCCTTTCTTTCTTGGTGTGGTACTGGGGATTGAACCCACGGTCTTTCCATCAAGTTCTCTTTTATTTATTTTTATTTTGTATTTTGAGAAACCATCTCACTAAACCTCTAAATTGCCCTGGTTGGACTCAAGCTGTGATCCTTCTGCCTCAGCCTCCCAAAGTGCTGGGAACACATGCATGCACCACCTCCTCCAGCAATTTCTTCATTTCTGAAGCTCTGCTATCGATTTTTATCAAGGCCGGGTGGTCCCTGGCACAGGGGTACAGGTTATGGGGGCAGCAGGTTGCTGGGCAGCTCTGCAGCGCTGCTGGTACGGGCAGTGTCTTGCCTTAGTCCACCCACAGCCCCCACCCCACCCAGCCTGGTCCTGGTGGCACGGAGCCTGCAGCTGAGCCAGGTGGCTTCAGACAGGCTGTCTGGCTGATGGCACCGGCCTTTGGTTGATGGTTACCAAGCTCCACATCCTTCCTGGATGTCCCTCCAGGAAGAGGGGAGCAGGAGACCGTGGCTGCTCTGAGGCTGGGCGAGATCCCGTGTCCCGGCCAGTGTGCACACAGGCACCGGGGCTGCGTGGCTGAGCGTCATCTGCAGTTGTGGAACAGAAGGCTGCCCCTGCCTCCCCTCGTTGGCCGGGAATCATCCCTTGAGTCGGGGTGAGGCGATGCCAGCGTCCCTGACATGGCAGGTGACCCGCGGGTGGCACAACCAGTCTGCCCCGCCGAGGATGGCCTTCCCAAGGTGGCCGGTCCACTTCTGGGGATGTGGGGTGGTGGCTTTCAGGGTCCCCTGAGGGTGCTGTGGAGGGTTCTCTGCGGTGTGGCATTTCCATTTGGGTACATGGCAGGGAGAGTTCAAAGGGCCAGGCAGAGGCAGGCGCCGGTGTGGATGAGGGGAGCTGCGGGGCTGAGACACCAGCAGCTCCTCAGGTCGGCAGAGGAAGGAACCTGGCACCCGGGCGCACGGCCGGGCCCTGCGTGTCAGGGTGCTGCCCTTGATGCAGCCCAGCCCTCCGAGTGCCCTGGTCCTCTGCACTGTGCAGGGTGTGGCTGGGGTGCAGTCTGAGCAGGGCCAGTGGGCGCTTGGCCAGGAGGTGTCCAGGCAGAAGGGATTCGGGCAGCTCAGTGATCTTTGGGTCCTGAGGACCAAGACCACGGGAACCACAGAAGCCCTTCACCTCACGTGTGGGTAGTGGGTGGCAGATGACAATGCTGGCTGTGGGGGAGGGGGAAGGACACAGGGCCAGGTCTGGGGACAAGCACAGCCCTACGACACCCTGACTCTTGCCCAAAGGCCCCTCGAGAAGTGGCAAACTGGGTGTGCTGAGCCGCAGGGGTCCCGGGCAGACGGGGTCTGCGTGAGTCTTGGGTTCTGCGGCAGCGCCAGCCTGCACTGCCCCGGCCTTCCCTCTCTGTGAATCAAGCCCAGGAAGGCAATGACCCAGAGTGGCTAGCGGTCAGGCGCCTGGAAGGACACAGGCAGAGAACTGGCCTGAGGGGCGCTTGGGGACAGGGCCTGGGGACAGGGTCCAGAGACAGGACAGCACTTGCCACGCAGGCTCCTCTAACTGTGGTCATGAACCAGGGCCAGAGCGTGTGGACCGGGAGCCAGTGCGGGCTCTACCTCCAGACCCTGTCTGCTAGGCCCACGGGCCAGCTCTGATGGGACCCAGACCTGGCCGCCACACTCTAGGGTCACGCGGGGTCTGTCTCCCCCCAGGTGCTTCTGCAAAAGCTGGGGGCACCTCGGAGCCGGCAATGCTCCTTGTAAGGATGCACAGGGACCAGGAAATGGGAGCGGACAGAGACTGAAGCTGCAATCCCAGGAGCGGAAACCCAGGCGGGCAGCGGAAATGCCCGGATGGGCGGCTCCAGCGTCTCGCTGCCTGTCATCCCCCAGCTCCACGCTGCTTCAGGGACGCACAAGGTCTGGGGGCTCAGTCCACCCCCAGGTGATCACTGCGTCCACGGCTCCCGGGGCCCCAGTGGCGCCCGCGCCCACCTGACTCACTCGCTCTCCTGCAGCACGGTCCCGAGTCTCGCGTGCAGGTCACGCTCACCCTCCAGCTCCAGGTGCAGGCGTCGGGATGCGGCCTGCAGGCGGCCCACCGCTGCCCTGCCGTGGTGACAGGAGACGGGACAGTGCAGGTTGGCCCTGGAGAAGTGGGGGCCCTGGGCCTCACCACAGGGGCACCGGAGCCCCCCTGCCCTGCTGGCTAGACTCGAGGCTCCTGCCTTCCTCCCAGGAGTCTGGAAGCCAAACTCCTTGTTCCCGGGCCCTGCAGGTGCACCCTGGAGGGACCCAGTGCACCCCGAAACACCACCATGCCTGCTGACCTGAGCTGCTGAGCCCCGCCTGGCCCTGCCTCCCTCCTGGGCTGCAGTGCTCCCTGGGCACTGTCCACACCAGAGCCCATGACCACCCCTGAGCTCACAGCTTCGCGGCAGGGTGAGGGGGTGCTGGGTCCTCGTGTGGAAGACCTGGGGAGTCTTGTCCACAGAAGGGCCTGGGTGACACTGACCAGAGGGTGGGCCACGCGGACGCTGCCGGTCACAACCCCCGGCGTGGATGTGGTGCTCATAAGTGGGTTCAAAGCAACCACTCAGGCCTCGGGTCCTCTGCAGACCCCAGGCTGCTGCACCCCAGACCCAGGCGGGTTTAAAAACCCAGGGAGGAGCCAGGTGTGTCCCAGGGGAGCTGACTTCTCCTGCCCCACTGTGGGGTGTGGCTGACACCTCCGGCCTGGCCACAGCCCCACGTCCCGGCCCACAGATGCCTACATGTTGCTGGACTTCCTCTCCTGGGCCACCTGGGCAGCCACGCTCGCCTGCTGCTTGCTCAGGACGTCCATCCTGTGGTGACAGGCGCACAGCTCCTCTCTGTGGTGAGAGTTGGGGTGGGGTCCCTGAAGCTCCACCCCAGGGGGCAACAAGGTGGGGAGGATCCCGCCCAGCTCTCCCTGCCTAGGCTGGGGCAGTGGGCACCTCTCAGGGTCTCTGACTATGGGGTAACAAGAGCAGGGCCTCATCCCTCTGTTTCTGGAAAAGCCCCCTGGGGTGATATCACCGTGCCTGGGGGCCACGTGGGGGCCTGGAGTCCCCTGGATCCTCACAGGCCAGAGCCGCTGGGTGCTTGGCCTTCACAGGACCCAGCCCCATTCAGGGGCTCCCCTTGGTTTGGGGCAACAGACTGGAACCCAGCAGAGCTGTGGCCGCGGAGCTTGAGGGTGAGGGTGGGGAGGCGCTGAGCCGGGCGACCAGGCTCACCTGGTCTTCTGGAGGAACAGGTCCTTCTCTTCCTGCGCCCTGTCCAGCAGGTCCAGGCTCCTGCGCAGCTGGCACGCCTGCACCCTGTCTCTGACCGTGGTTGGTGTCCTTGCTTTCTGGGCATCGGGGCTTCTCTCCTTCCTGGGACTTGGAATGAAAGGGACAGAGGCTGCCGCCCACCGTGTCCACCGCTTGTGTCCGCCGTGTGACTCGGGGTCATCCACGCCCGCCGCTCCACATCCCACTGCGGGAGCTGCACTCGAGGCTGGGGAGTGGCTCCCCTTCCCCCAAGAATTACCAGGGGTGGTGGGGGGCAGCGGTGTTCTCTGTTCCCAGGGGACCACATTCCGTCTCAAACTTTGGATCCTCCAATTCATCTGCTTCTAGAAATCAAGGCAGGAAGAGTTAAAAAAAAAAAGGCAGCTGGGGGTAGTGGTGCACGCCTGCAATCCTAGCATTCAGGAGGCCGAGGCAGGAGGACTGCCGTGGGTTTAAGGCCAGCCTGGACTATATGGCGAGAGCCTGTCTCAAAAACAAACAACTGGCAATCCACAGGAAAAAATAAAGTAAAAAAGAAAATCCCCAAACTCCAAATAAACAGCAGATTACACATGCAAGTCTCAAACTAGATGAGTAAAGAGGTTCTCAAAGCAGGGGTGAGGGAACCAGGGGCCCCAAGACTTCTTCAGGGGTCTCCAGATTAAACCCATGTTCACGGTTGTATTGACACAGGCTCAGCCTTGCCCTATTGTTTCCTGTGCATTTATGGGAGTTGCTGACGGCCTCTTGGAGACACAGGGGTCTACTGAACTGAACGCGGTTACTAGTAGCAGTTCAATATTGCGCTTGTGCATTAGTAAATACGGAAGTACTTTCAGCCTCACTCTTTGACACAGTAAACATGGAAAGACAGAATCAGCACATTTAACACCTCTTTATGCCTCCAACAATTTTTAAGGCATGCATGGCGGTCCACATTGGTAATCCCAGCACTCTGGGAGGCTGAGGCAGGAGGGCTACAAGTTCAAGCCTAGCCTGGGCAATTTAGCAATTCATCAGTGAAAACCTGTCTCAAAATAAACAAGTGAAAAATGGGCTGCCAAAGGCTCTGTGTTCCATCCCTAGTACTGGAAAAAAGAAGTAGAGAGGTTCTTGAGAATCCTTGTCTTAGGAAATCACCAGAGACCTCCTGCAAAATGTGGCAAGGGTTATTGCCACACAGCCAACCTCTGTAAAAATGACTGATAAGGAACTTTAGAAGGCCTGGGGCCGGTCACCACAGGGGTGTGAGAGAGGGAAGGCAGTGGGTGGCACCCAGCCGAAGACCAAATCAAGAACATCTCTGAAAGATTTCAGATCATAATTTTAAGAAGAAAATCTAAATGTTTCCAGAAGTAGAAAATAAAAACAGGTCACACTCAAAGGACGGATAAAAGCGGCCCAACTTCTCCATAGTGATACTGGAAACTAGAAAACTACAATGTCTCTTTCAAAATTCTCAGCCACCATCTATCCTTTCAATATAATAACACCAGCTCCCTGGTGGAGGAAAAATACGAATTTAGTAGATGCAGTTTCCCTGCAATACAGAGAACTGAGGAGCAGCCCTGGGCCCATTGGTGTCTTTGTTGCTGGAGAGAAGCGTGCAGTCTTTACTACCATCCTCTACGAGGTCATCCACAAGCTCCTTGTGCAGGAACAGGCCAGCACCCTCTTCCATCCTGGGAGACAGAAGACAGCTGCAAAGAAATCATTACAAGATCTAGGTCAGAGGCTGGAGATTTAGCTCAGCGGCACAGGGCCTGCCTGGCAAGTGCAAGGTCATGAGTTCGATTCCCGGTACCGGAAAAAGAAACCAAAAAAACAGAAAAAACAAACAAACAAACAAAAAAGATGTAGGTCAACAAGGTCACAGATTAAAAAGAAAAACCAAAAAGTTTGGACTTTATAGGAATTCATGGTGTTTCACTAAAAAGACTGTTAAGAAAATGAACAGATAAGCCACACACTAGGAAATAAGTATTTGTGTAACAGATATCTGACAAGGATCATGTATCCAGAGTATAGAAAGAGCTCCTAAATATCCACAAAATAAACTCCAATTTTAAAGTCAAAAGATTTAGAAAAGATGTGGCAAAAAAAGATACAGAGATGGTCAATACGCAGGTGACACTTTCTGTGACACTGACAGTCATCAGGAAAACACAAATTAAAATCAGAGTGAGGTACCACTGTACAGGCACTAGAATGCCTGAAATAAAATGTACTGGCGGCGCGCAGTGCGAGAAGGGTCATGGGAATGGTGCATCCACACCCAGCCGGCCGGAGCGAAGCAGGGCTTGGATTCTGCCAGGCAACTCCTTCCCAACGCATCCCGGAGCCTGACCAGCAGTCCTGGTGTTGCTAAGAAACAACAGCTTGTCCATACCAAGCTCATACCGGAATATTTATAGCACCCTGTTCTTCATTGCTCCAACTTGGAAATGCTTGTGTCCCTCAATATGAGAACGAGAACAAATTGTTGGACCTCACACGAGGGAAAACGTTCAGCCGTGAAGAGTGGAGGGATGACAGGCACAGCCGCGTGAACCCCAGCAGCCTCAGGGCAAGGAGGCCGGACAAGGAGCTTGCAGAAGCCCAGTGTAGGCAGGACTGTGGGCGCGACAGGGACCAGAGAGGGGCAATGTGGTGGGGGAAGAGGAGCTATCGGGAACCTGGGGAAGGGCTCCGCAGTTCGTTTTTGGTGGCGGTTACACAGGTGAATGAAACTGCAAAGATGCAA